ACCACAATGCCTGGCTATTTTTTGTTGTTGTTGCTGCAGTTGTCATTGTTGTTTTAGCTGGCCTGGGCTGGGTTTGAACCCACCAGGCTTGGTGCATGTGGCCAGTGCTGTAACCACTGTGCTATGGGCACTGAGCCCCAACCCACTTAACCAGAGCTCCACATTCTTACCAATAAAGCATCATTTCTGACTCCGGGCAGGAGAGTCTCCCACCCAGGCCCAGACTTGGTTCTCCCCACACATGAGGAGAGAGGCTGCTGCTGATGCCTAAGCTATCTGGCTCCTCAGGGCTGCCTCCCCCAAACCCAGCAGCACCCCCACCAACTCAGGCTGGGTTACACAACATGTCAGACACCTGGTTTGGGCTACTCATCTTTCTGCTCTTAAGAAGAGGTAGAGAGGGCAGAGTACTCACACAGTGAGTACTGTGTTCACAGACAAACCCCACTCCTCCATGGGGCCTAGTTGCCAGGGAGACTTCACACCTGATGACCCAGGTTCCTCCTCCCTTCCCCATCCTCAGAGCATGTGTCTTGCCTGAAATATCTACCAAATAATAAGTTAGAAGCAATAGAGACCTCCAGGGTCTATGCAGTGATGGAAAAATACTGTGGTATGGTGAAGCCCTTAGCCTCTGAGTCAAACAGTCCCAGGGTTCAATTCCTGCCTCCACCACATAACTGGATGAAGCAACTTATTAATCTCTCTAAACCTTAGTTTCATCATCTGGTGAGAATTTAGTGAACAAATCTATGAGTACACAGTGCTTAGTACATAGAAATACACAATAGGCCCGGGTAAGGTGGCTCACGTCTGTAATCCTAGGACTTTGGGAGACAAGGCAGATGGATTGCCTGAGCTCAGGAGCTTGAGGCAAGCCTGAGCAAGAGCAAGACCCCATATCTACCAAAAATAGAAAAACTATGGTTTTTCTATGGTATTATGGTGGGGGCCTATAGTCCCAGCTACTCTGGAGGCTGAGGCACCAGGATCACTCGAACTCAGAAGTCGCTGTGAGATATGGTAACACCACAGCAGTCTACCCAGGGCGACAGAGTGAGACTCTAGCTCAAAGAAAAAAAAGAAAAGAAAATATACAATAAATGGTGACTATGTTACAGCCAGTAGTATGCTGCTGACAGGCATGAGAAAGGGTGTCAGGACATCTGACTTCTAGACTCAGCTCTGCCTACAATTCTCTATGTGTCACTTGCTTTCTTTATCTGTGCAATAGGGAGCTGAACTAGGTGATCTCTAAGGCTTCTCCCAGCTCCCCTTTCTGTGATTTCCTACCAGACACTTCCAACAATAGGGTGCTAGCAAAGAGCTGGCGGGAATGAGGTTTCTTTCCAGTCTAGGGTGCCACCTACTGGCAGTCTGGGATCACTACAGTTGGCACCTCTAGGTTTTCTTCCTACATGAAATTCCACCCATTTCTCCAGCAGAAGCCAATTCCAGGCTGAGGAGCTTGGGAGTGACAGAGAAAGGATTTAAGTAGGAAGAAAGGAAAGTAAATGCTCTATGAATTCTAATAGTAGATGGGCAAATAGATGCAGATGCGCTAAGGGCCCAGCGGCTGCTGGATCTAGCAGGGCTATGGGAAGAGAAGCGGATAAGGGAAATGCAGACCTTTAGGCCGCCATACCTGTGGGAGGGCGGAGTTAAGGTGGCGCTGGAGCTGGTCCCGTTCATGTAGGGCATCCTGGAGCCGGCTCTGCGTGGCTGCCAAGGTCTCCTGACTCTCCCGAAGCGACTCCAGCAACTTCTCCCGCTCATCCAGCATGTTCACCATCAGCTGCTCAAAGTTGGCGTCAGCATCGGCGCCATGGGGGGGCCCCAGAGGGTCCCCCTCGTTGATTGTGGGCATCACCTCACACATGGTAGGGGTGTCAGGGCCTTCTCAGCGTCAGGGGACAAGGGAGGGTCTCACAGGGTTGGCACCTCCAGGGGAACCCAGTGCATGGGTCTCAGAGTGGGCAGTGCCAGGTGAGTGGACGGGTGGGCAGGGGCTTCTCCCATGGCATCAGTTGCTCTCACTCTGAAAGGGGCCTGAGGCCTGGAGTGCCCCCGTGGCATAGAGCCAGAAGGCTTGGCTTAACCTCTCAGGGCTGGGGCTGGATGCCCTGTGTTCCCAAACAAGCAAGCAGCAGCCGAGTGTGGCCATGACAGGTAGGGGGAGCAGGGCTGGAAGATGGCCCCTCTCTTAAACTGAGCACTGGAGCCTGGCTGAGTCCCAACTGGATCTAGCGACACCCATCATTTCTGGAAGGCAGTGTGGTCTGTAGGAAAAGAGACTGCTCTGAGGACCAGCTGAGTGGAGAAGGGCAGCAGGGGAGGGGGTGATGCAGGGAAGACAGGCCCTGAACTAGCACAGGGGGGTGGATAAGCAGGTGTGGCAGTGTTGGCGCATGCCCCTTCTCTAGGCTGGCTCACTCTGATGGCGCCTCCTTAGTTCTCCCAAGGAACACACATGCCTACTGCCTAGCCTCTGCCTTCCCCCAGCTGTCAGAAGTGCAGCCGCAGTGGCAGTGGTTCCCCCACCCACGTGGCTCACTGGCCAAATATAGAAATGATTCAGTCAGCGGTAGGGGAGCAGCAGGCAGGCTGCCCAGAGTCCTCCTGAGACCTGGGGGTGGGAGGGGAAAAAATAGGGTCTTTGGACCCTCCCCCCACAGATTCTCCCCCACACTTAAACCAAGGCAACTGCAGAAGGGGTTAAAGGGTGATTAGTGCATCTGAGTTCCAAAAGTTGGACTCCAGGGGTCACAGGAAACAGAGGCAGAGTAGTTTCTTCCCTGACCACTGGTGCAACACGGTTAAGGACTTGGAGAAACACAGGCTGGGCACTGGGGCAGGCAGAGAGCCCTGACCTGCTATAATGCCCATAATTCAGGGAGGAGATTCTGGGTCACATCATTCCCCACTTCTCAAACCTGCCAAGAAGGATGGCCTGCAGGCCTGGCAGTCAGC